CAGGTTTTCGCCCAGAACTGTCAGTGCAATATCGTCCGCGTTTCCTATCAGTGTAGCGCCCTTTGGTAGTCTTAGGGCGAGTATTATAAAACTACTTTGAGAGTTAACTTAAAGTTAACTTCTGAAAATACATTCAAAAAGTTAACTTCAAGTTAACTGTCAAAGCAGTTTTATAATACCCGCCCTTAGTTTCAAGAGTCCGTAATACATGATGTTCCACAGAGTAGGTCAGCATCCTGGAACTGCGCAGGACTAGTTGCGTACTTATTCAGTCTTTAGAACTGCGCGTTTGGAATTGATCAGAGTTCGAAAAAACCCGGACATATTATGTATTATTTTTGTACAGAGCAGGCGACAGCGATAATTAATGAAATATATCATAAAGCTTTTTTTGTAGTGTGGTTTCTTTTGCCAAACTATTCTCCCCGAGATTTTTGCCGCCCTTCGATTTCGCCGCCCCGTGCAGGGGCACAGGCTGCACGGGTCCTGGAGCCGGCCCTGGGCTTGGCTCAGAAATGAAAACTTTCAATAATTGTCGTTCTTTGTTCTAAGTTCATTGCCCGTCCTTTAATACAACAAGATAACCAAGGATGTTTTTAACTTTTTGTTAAAACGCCTACGTGTGTTGAGATAATAAAATGTCATTAAATTAATGTGAGCTATTTACGCACATTAGAGCCAATGTTGTGTTTTTTTTTAAATATTTTATCAGAATAATATTTGCAATTTATTCTTTTGATAAAAAATATAAGTTAAATATTTTTTCGCCAAAAGTATCACATGTTTTGAGATCAAGCGAATTTATTAATTCTAAGTATTTTATTAGCAAATATTATGTTACATATTTTTAAATTGCCTTTTCCTTATATGGACGGTATAAACTTTTGCTTTCATATTTCGAACCAGTCCGGCCTTGGGTTTTTAGGGCATATTAGGTCAATTTTAAATAAAAGCGCAAAAGCCGACAAAAACTTTGATTCAAAACAAACTACTACAAATTTACCCTATATGATATCATTAGGGTTCTGAATGCCGTACAGTAGTCTAGGAAAATTGTCGAAAAATACATGCATTGCAAAAAAAAAATTCCTACCCAAATGGACTTTTCATGGATAATAGGGGGCGGGTGGGTGATCATAAAACCGAAGATATTACACATTCACCCCTCTGGCGTTTTGCGCTATAGGGGTTGAAAGTGCGCCATTGGCGATTACTTGGTACCTATTGATTTTACAAAAAAATGTTTCAAATAAAAGATGTGCAACATTATTTGATCAACAATGTTTATCTGAAGTCTTTTTTGATTAAGGGCCGTCTGTGGTCATACACCAGGCCGTTTAAAATTTATAATGAAAATAAAAAATTTTAACCAACGTGAAAAGAATTTATAACTTAAACAACGTTTTTGCTCAATGAAGTTTTTACTCACCCCCTGCCGTTTTTCAATAGGGGTAGTTTAAAGTTTTTTTAATTTTTTACAAAAAAAAATTCTTAATAAAAGTTTTATAAAATTACATTTCCTACAATTTTTCCTTATCAACTTTTTTTGTAACTCATCCCCATTCAGTGAGGGGAGACTTTCCTTAGGCTTAAAATTTTCATTTTCATTATAAATTTCAAACGACTCTTATGACCACAGACGGCCCCTAATCAAAAAAGTCTTTAGATAAACATCGTTGATCAAAAAATGTTGCACATTTTTTATTTGAAACATTTTTTTGTAAAATCAATAGGTACCAAGTAATCGCTAATGGCGCATTTTCAACCCCTATAGCGCAAAACGCCAGAGGGGTGAATGTATGATATCTTCGGTTTTATGATCACCCATCCGCCCCCTATCATCCCTGAAAAATTTATTTGGATAGTGTTTTTTTTTTTTGAAAATCGACAATTTTCCTAGACTACAGTTACTTTTGAAAAACTTGCGAGTCCTTGTTGAAAAAATAAATAAAAAAGAAAGCTCTCTAAATAAAACAGGGAATTTATCCTGACTACCTACGTCACAACTTAGTTAAATTATTTACTCAGGGATTCAAGAGTTTATGATATTTTTTGCGAAACCTTCTAACATTCTGAAAATTTCGCAAAAAAAAAATGTAAGAATTAGTAGAGAGATGTTTTGCTACTAAAAAAGTTAATTGCACCATGCAAGGTCACTAATTATTGATACTTAACAAGGCAATTTCAATTTTGTAATCATTTAATTCAGTAAGAGCTATTTATTATAATAATTATAAATTGTTGATGCACACAAGCTTCAGATTTAATGGCGGGAGTGTATTTCTGAACTCAAAAGACTCATCGACACTTTTTTTTGATAAGTTTAGAATTACCTAAATATAACTTATTCGAAGAACAAAAAATCAATATGGCCAGGATCCAAAAGGACCATTTATTATTTCCAATCATCCTGTCAATGTGGAATTATTAAAAATTCAACAATTTGAATATTTGATGATTTGTGCTTGAAAAGTTTTAACAATAATCTAAATAAAATTATCATAATCGAATTAAGCAAGACTGGAAGATCCTGATCCACTCAAACAACTAGTGATGCCGCGAGACTCGAGATTGGTCTCGTCTCGTCTCGTCTCGACTTATCGAGACGAGACTGGCTTTTGGCCTCGTCTCGTGAAGTCTCGGTGAGGCGACGGCGAGTCTGGCGCAGGCTCGAGTCTCAAGATTACAATTAAAATTTTTCCTTCATAGCTTCATTATTGGACTATTTTGTGCTATTTGAATATGAATTCAGAAAAAAAATTGAACGTCAAACAAAGAAATAAAAATGTCGTTAAAAAAGTTTTTGAAAAAAGAATCACCCTGCATGTTTTTTGTCAATTTTAATACTTAAAATTTAATGGGATGGTTTCTATATACGTCACTGCTCCATAATATACCTACTTAATTTTCAGATTCTGCTTTCGGTCTAGCCAATAGTGAAATCAATTTTGTTTAAGGCATAAGCACTTTCGGCTAAACTAGAAGTTAAATCTGAAGATCAAGTATGTAGAAAGCATCCCATATTAATTCACAAAAAAATTACAGGGTGATTCTTTTTTCAAAAACTGTCTTATCCGACATACATATATTTTTTTTTTTTTATTTGACGTTCATATTTTTTCAAATATCACGGTTGCTCTTTACCATGATTTTTCATTCTTTAAATAACTGCTTTTTCACTGTGGCAGTTTGGACCGTTATAATATAAAAATAAAAACCATAAATACAGAGTGTCCGCAAAATAAAGCAAAAGCTCTCCACGTAGTAGGGGATCCTCTGAGAAACCCTAGAAAAATATTTTAAAAAACGCTTCACGAGCATTCTTGGTAATATGAAGAGGTAAATGTTGAAATTCATTTCAATTTCCTTATTTTTAGTTTTTTTCAAATTGCAATATTTCGTACAAATTGATACGTATATTTTTTTGATTCGTAACATAATAGCTCATGAAAATTTATTGTTAACCTTTAAAAGCATTATGAAAATAGCAAAATTTCTAAATTAGAACAGGAAAAATTGATCTGACAACATTTTTTAGTCACCTTCGAATTTTTCAGGTAATTGCATAGGTACCTATTTAATTTATTTGTGTGACATATTTTCAACAGGATATTTTCAGTGTTGGCAATTTTAATAAATAATATTGAAATGCAAATAGGTAACTTTCATTAGAATGCCACCAGATTTTTTAAATTATTTTTCTGGGGTTCCTTGAAGGGTCCTCCATCACGTAGTGAAGAGTTTTTACGCTATTTTCAGGATAGCCTGTATAACTCGAGACCATTCGAGACGAGACGAAACTTTGGTAGTCGAGACCGAGATGTCGAGACGAGACGAGACCAACCTTAAGTCTCGTCTCGTGGCATCACTACAAACAAAGGACAAGCCCTGAAGAAAATTTTAAAAGCAAATCAAATTCTAACACTAGAATTATGCGAACTAACTATAAGTACCGACCACAAATGCCACATTGTTCTTGTAATGTGCCTGGAACATAATTTAACAATTCATCTATAACAAATAATTTTCCAAATACAATGATAATAGTGACATAGAAGTGCTCAAGAGCCAATGGCTATGCCGTCCGATAAAACTCCAATAAAAACAACCCAAAGGCCTCGCTAAAACAATCTTGAATACAATATCAATTACAATTATTATATTAATCCATTTGATCGAGCGGTTGATTACATTTACAATGTGTATGATAATCCCAATGTCCAGAATGATGATTCCCAATGCCAAAATTTTCAATCGGCCCCCAATATCCACAATGTAACATAAGTTGTCTCAATTACATTAGGTACCTCTACTTTACCAGTTGAGTATAATAAGGGGAAGTTTTCAGCATGATTCGACTTTATTCATGAATTTTTAAATCAAATGTTAACGTTTCGATGCATTCCACATCCTAATTAAGCCCAGATTTTTGTCGAAAAAAATTGTGTGTACACCAGATGGTACAGCCGTTTGATGGTTTACCGCACGTACGTACCCTTAACCATCTGCCTGACATTAAGAAAATAATCCATCCTATTTTACATTATTCCTTTTATTGTTTCACACAGGAAATTTCCGCCTGATATTTCTATAATTTACGGTCTGGACAAAGTATGCTTAAATTGAACAAAATTGTTTATAAAAAAAAACGCGGCTATTGATTTGGACAGCAGCAATAGTACAGGCACAAACTGTAAGAAAAGAATTTAATATGATCAAGAACAAGAGTTTTTATCGAGAGAATTGTTATCCCTACTTGGTAAAATCAATATAAATAACCACTTGAATATCCTTGACTGAGTTGGATAAGTATAGGTAATGCTTTACAATTATTGCAGAGCGCATATTGACGATATTGCACATTGCAAATTTTATAACAAAAATAGGATATAAAGTTGCAGGAAAATGAAAATATTACATCTAATTTTCAAAAATAAAAGAAAGTAAAAAAGTGCAAGCACTAAAATCAATCAAATAAACAATCCTCGAAAAAAACTTACCGAAAAAAAAAACAACAGCTAGTACTGATGGTACCGCAAAGTGTGACACTGTGATGTTCACCTGTAAACAAAAGATTATCCCAAGGTGTGTTCGGTGAAAGCACGCGAGATACGAAAAACTTATATGGAACTATCACGTCTGACGCTCAAAGAAAAGTAAAAACTCGTTTCAGTTTCGAAGACGGCGATTTCGTATTATTGACTAGATTATATACGAGCGTAACCTATGGCGGTACTATAGTACTGCCGTTGGTTGCCACTTGCCAGTCGCGACCGCGAGAGAAAATGACTCACCGAAAATCTCATGTTAACGGTCGATCCTACACGCATGTCCTACTTGCCTTTGGATCTTTTATGGGGACCAAAAAAGAAAGACAAGGCGCGAGCCCTTGTCTCCATCAATGTCTTTTTTTATCCTCCGAGGTTTAAATTGTTATTAATGGCGTCTAGAAGACTGACGTGATTTGTGCAAACTGCGTGTCGTCTGTGGGCATCAAATTGCACTTCAGTTATGTTTTAAGTTTGTTTTGGTTTTATTAATGTCTTGCTTGTGTCAAGTAGGATTTATGGGATTTTCTTAATTTAAATTCGATTGCAATTTTAAAGTTTTATTGTTAGTATAAATCATAATAATATGGTTTTCAAGTGTTAAAATGAAACTTAATAAATTTCTGTTTTTAAATACCGATTCTATCAAAATAAAGCGGCGCTATAGGTATTAATGGACAAATAAATTATTACAAGATAAATCGTGTTCAGTTGCCTAATAGTCCGTATTTTGGGTACCTAACGGATTTGTTCCCTCAACCTACAAATAGGGTATAATCAAACTATTTCAACCTTGAGGGGGTTTATTTCAAGAATTCGGTTGATGTAACTCTGGCACCCTCAAACATTTTGGGACATTTAGAATGGTGGCTGATTTTAAGTATTAAAAAAAAATATTTGCCTTATAAATTTTTGTTTTTTGCTCGAGTTTAGCGTCCAGGGTGAGTTTTTTTTTTCTCTCTCTCTCACTCCAATCCGATTTATTGTCCCCATGTATCACTGAAGCCCTGGAAGGCTTATTGTGCGTAGCCTGTTTGCTTTATTCTAACCACTCTAGTATTTTTGTGCCCTGTACAAGGTTGTACCTCGGGTTCCCTATTGCAGAGTCTGCAGTCTCCGTTATAAAATACAGGTTCATCCTGTTCAGGTCAGTGGCGGATTAAGAATTTTGCCGCACCCACGCCTTTTAATAATTGCCGCCCCATGCTTGGTAATAATAACAATAATACCCCTCATCTTTTAATTATTATGGCTTATTGAACATAACATAAAACATCGCAAATATAAATAGGTAATTCGTAAAAAAACAAGTTGGTCAAGTTGGTAAAGCTACACAGTACACAGCTTCACCAACTTTGACCAAGGTTTGTAGCGCAATATCCACATTTGGAAAAACGGCTTGCAGTTACTGAATGCTCAAAAATAGGCATTTGCTAGCGAATTATTTTTCAAAATTGTTGTCATAATACAGGGTGTCTAGCCCAAACTGACACATTTTGCAGGTAAATATCTCGAAAACGAGAAAAGATAACGAAGTGCGGTTTGTTCTGGGAGAGTCAGGATTTTTTAAAGTTTTTTTTCAAAGTATTGCCGCATCCTGAAATTTGCTGAAATTTAGTTTCACGGCAATGCAATTGTTTGAAATAAAGTTACTGCCTCATTTTCAATGGAACACCCTGTATATTCTATCATCGTCAGAAAGCCTGATTTTTCTACTTTACAAAAATATATAATTTTTTTGAATTATCTTGAAATTGCTTCCTACAAATTGCACTTTGTTGAAGAGGCTACCATCGACTGGCCAAAAAAAATAAATGATAATTAGGGCCTATTCGGGTTTGGAAAAAGTACGGTTCTAGAACGGTCCAAAAGAATCTCACAGTTAATTATTGAAATTTGTGATAGCCGAGTCGTTGTTATTTTGTTGATCGCTGTACGCTTGTTTTGAACCGTCCTTTTTCCAAACCCGAATAGGCCTTTAATTTGTGTTCAATACTTTTATTACCTTATCAAAGGCTTAAGCGTAGTTAACTAATACTACAGTGACTCTATTACATCAGTGGCAACAATTGCCGTCTTATTTTTGATTGATTGATTCTAAAATCCCATATATTGAAAACGCCGCCATTTTGTGCCCACCTATTGCTTATTTCAAATATGAATATATGTGATTTGGGTGAACATCCATCATAAGACATGGAAAACAACGTATTTGATAGACCTAATAATAGTCATCAAATACGTCGATTTCAATTTTTATAATTTTTTGTTGGAAATGTCCACCATTCATCTCTATACATTTATGTAACTTTAATAATAAGTTGTCAAAAACATTTTGTAACGCAGCCTGCGGAATATTTTCGATGACGTTTCGTATCTTCTCCATCAATTCCTGCAAAGTCTGAGTTATGGTATATATTATGGTATGGTTATAACATCGTTCGTTTACATAACCCCATGGAACAAAATTGGAACAGTAAAATCAGGTGAATATGGTGGCCATTCTATGGGGCCTGCTCTACCAATCCATCGCCCAAGAAATTTGGTATTGACCCACTCTCGAGCAAGGCGCGAGGATAAATATCAGCTGATATATATATCATGATATATATCGCGATATTTATTTTAAAAATATCACGATATTTATCCCTACAAGTGTTTAAAATTAAAATTCATATTAGGTTCAGTTATAGACTTACAGTTTGGGTTAGTTATAGTTGAGTTGAGATTGGGCGAGTTTCGGCGTTAACCGAGTTACAAAAAGTAGTTATAAAGCGGTAATGAAATGGTTAGGAAGGTTAGGATACAGGGATATGGTCAGCGATATTAAACAATAACCAGGTAACCAGACGCCAAAACTCTTTTCGTAACCGGAAGTTAAACATCGCAGGTATTTCCTATTTGACGACTGGTTTATCAGTGGACGGTTATCTAGTTAAGCTGTCGGTTAACCAATGATAATTATCAGTTAACCAACAGCTGAACTGAATAACCGTTCACTTAGGAAGGTTAGGATAGCAAATCAAATTGCTATACCAAAGAAAAAGCTGGGTCACGTACCGTTATTGAACTTTCTATGAAAATATCATAAATATCACATATTGGATATATATCATAAAATATCGGATATTTTGATATTTATATAAATATCCAAACAGAAACTTTTGACGAATCCCGTTCAAATTCGTTGAAAACACGGGGATTCGCATCCTCCCAAATGCAAAAATTGTGTTTATTAACTTTTCCGTTTATATGAAAAATGGCTTCAGCTGACATAATTAATTTCGTATTGGGCTGCTCTCGGAAAAGGTCTTAAATCACTTCACACAAATGTACCCGTTTTTCGAAACGAGGTTCCGGAATCTTTTGAAAAGTTTGTATTTTATATTCCTTTAGTTTAGATTGATAGTTTTCAGTAGTTGGTGAACTTTGCTTTTCGACCTTTCTGCCATGCTGTTCAAACATTCTTCGACCAGAACTAAGTTGGTCATCTAGACCTTAGATCTAGACTATGGAGATGCGCATCGAATCTACGTTTTCGTTTGAGTGACCCATTTTGATTAAATTTTTGCACCCACGAAAGAATCGTATTTCATGGAGGTGGGATTTTATGAAAATTTGCCACAAATTGTCTTCTGGTTCTCGTTATAGATTTAAACTCCATGTATAGAGTTACTGCGCGTATTTTTTCTTGTAGAGTAAACTTTTTTTTTTTTTCATTCAAAAATTTAATAAAATTCTTATGAAAGGTGAAGTTGACATTAATATTTTTCTAGTTGCTATGGTAATAGCAAGGACTAGGATCCTTGGATCTGTCCTTAGACGATCTGTCGATGTGAGTAAGACTAGTGATAGTGACGTGACTGTCAATTGTCATTATAGTGAATTTAATATATATATGAAATATATTATATCTTTCTCCTTTTTATCATGTAATAGTAAGAAATGGGTAGAAAGTCAAAAAATCCTCTCCCATCACTTTTTATTAAGTGGCACTTGGCACTATTGGAGTGCTGCTGCAGGCACACACGAAAATTCCCCAAGAACAACCCTGGTTACAGTCATTAGTCGCCTCCTGCATTTATAGCAGTTCTGCGGCCCTTTTTCTGCATGGTTGGTCGATGAACTTTCTACTATGATTCTGGCCTGGAAGTTGTCCAGCAGTGTCTATGTTCTTTACTAACCCCAGTCTTTGATGTAGCCTCTGGTCATACTTTTTGGTATCCCAAAAGCCGGCTCTGGCCCGATAAGTTTCGTCCTGATCCTCTCTCTGCGAGTTGGTCAGCTTTTTCGTTGCCTTGGCTTCGATTCCTCTGTGTCTTGGCACCCAGATAAGTTCCACCTTATTTTGGCCCGCCAGGGCCCTGAGTCCTTCCTGGCATTCCCATACATCCAATTAGACCTGAAAATTAGATAAAACTGCAAAAGCTTGGATAAGCTCCCATGTGGTTTATTGAAATCAAATCGGATCTATCAGAGCAATTTGCAAGTTTGATAAAAAACGACACGGGCATATCTCGATTACCTATGTATAAATAGAGCAAAATAGAATTTCAATCAAACAAACAAAGACGGTAATTTGCCGCAGGAGTTCTGCGTCTATATGGCTAGGAGAAATTAGTTCGGATGGCCAAATATTGACAAATTCGAGTATAAATTGGCGCCGATGAGAGGTCGATTACAAGGTAGCTCTTCAAAATGAAATGTAAGTGCTGTGAGATGAAAAACATTGAAAGTGCAGTGTGTGTGTTTTGTGAAAATTCTTTCCATGTTTCTTGTGCAGTGCGTCTAGTCTTGAAGATACTGTCGGGCTCGAAAGGGCCTTCAGTGCCGCTTGACTATCGGACATTATAAGGATCTACTGCCTTTTGGCTACGGCTCTCCTCTTATTCTCTGCTGCGCACTGGAGTATAGTGCCTCTGCCTGAAAAACGGATGCTTGTTCTCCCAGTACATAGTAATTGCTATAGAGTAAGATTTGGGATGGAGGAAAGGGTACGTTTGAAGAACGAGCTACCGGGAGCGGCGGAGGTTGGAGCTTGGGGCTTCCTCGCCCCGCCACCTAGGTGCCGCGCGCGTCGCTATAGATCTGATCTGAATTTCCGATTGCATGGGCGGTATAGGAGATTTGGTACATCGCATGCTATAATGCAATATTTTGATGTTAGAACGCGAAAATTTTCTAAAGTTTGGGTTTGAGGTGATGTGTGAAGACATATTTGAA